TACGTTAGTACTAGTAGTAAGTAAAGTAATAACTACTACTAACTAATATATATATTATATATATATAGTATATATACTTATTACTAACTAATAAGTATATATATATATATATATATATATATATATATATATATATATATATATATTAGCCTCAAATTTTATAATCAGTAGAAAATTGATTTTAGATCCATCATGGAGTTTTGCGATTCCTAAAGTACTTTCCAAATGAAGATTCAAGTTGAGGCTTTACTTTGTTTTCTTTTTTTCCCAGTTCGCCAATCTCAGTGTTACTCCCTAATTTTTTCAAAATATATATATATAGTTTTGAGCTTTATAACACCCTAGTGTCAGAATTTTAGTTTTTGAGTTTTATACATCTATTTTTTCCGATAAATAACGAAAAAAGAAAAAACAAGAGTCTAAAGTGCTAGAATATTTTTTTTAACTAAAATAAAATATTTGATTTCTGTCTCATTGTTCAATAAAATTTTGTTTGAAAATGTTCCTATCACATTGATTTACAACATCCTTAATAAATTTTAATCAAGAAAACATGATTTTGATTTTAGAATAGTATCCTATGCGATCCAAACCATTTTTTGGGATCTATACCCCGTCAAATGAAATCAAAAGATGAAAAATCACACTATTTTTTTCAATTTGAACTTGGTCCTCTAATCTGATTTAAATCTAGATTTTGTTTGAATTAAAACAACATTTTGGAAGTTCTTTTTCATTTTGAGTTCTTGACTCTTTCATTCATATCCAAAATTTCCTTTTCTACTATTCTGAGCTTTCCTTTTCTTAAAATACTGGGCTTGGCGTGCTGACTGGTCCATTGCCCAATCCGACTCGAAACTTACCAGAGTAAGACCACCGACATTTTCTAAACGCTACAGTGTGACCAGGTGAAAATAACTGAGGTGAGTATAAAAAAAATGGAAAAAGTTTATGTAGAGCGAGGCTCTAAACAATCAAATTAGACCCTACTACAAAAATTTTACTAGAAGAGGTTGTTTTCATGTCTAAATATCCTCAAATTGATCATCTCGACATTAAAATGTATGGACATGAGAAAAAATAGATTTTGAGTTTTGGAAATAACGCATCTTGTAACACATTTTTGGACCGTTAATTTTTAAGATTTTTAAGTTTTCATAAATCTGTATTATGTTTGAAACTTTAAATTTTGTCTTTAAAGATGGAAATATATCTTAAAGCTATTACAAAGATTTCCAGTATCGAAACCACATTTCTTGATACTATTTGAAGGTGGGCTTTAAGTCGATTGTTCATAGCCATGGCTCTATACAAACGGCACCCAAAAAAAAAATATCCCGAGACTGAATTGGAATTGTCCAATTTTTGGAAGGCAAGGTCGGCACTTTCTCTCTCTTGAATCCCTATGAAGGAAAAATATTCAAGGAGTCTGCACTTTCTCTCTCTAATTCCTGTATAAAGGAAAATTGTTCCATGCAGGTTCTTGTACCCGTGGATTCTTCAATGGAAAGCAGAAGAGATGATGCGCTTGAGGCCCCAAAGTCCTTCAACCATCGCTCTTCTTTCTCATCCATCGAAATTATCTGAGTTTGGGGGTTGGGATTCTTTACCTACAATTCCCAAACAGCTGCTTCGAGGGCAGGCAACAAGTCATGGATCAATTTTTTCTTCATTTTCAACTTCTTGAACAATGGCCTTGCTTGATTTCCTCCTGATTTTTCACTCAGGGAAGCCTGATGCCTTTGCGAGGCGGCATTCCCTCAGAACTGCCACCCTCGCGTCGATAATCGCACTCACCGCTATTTTTTTGGTGTATCTCTGGATCAGTGTTCCTCCTGCTCTGGTTGGGGTGGTGTGGGTTGCCTGTGGGATGACTTTGTTGAGTAGTGTGGGCATGGCTTTCATGTGTAAGAGCCACCAGGAGAGTGCTTTGGATGAAAAGCCCAAACAAGTGGATGGTGCTTCATTAGAGAGAGACTCCTTGTCAATGGATGATATGAACTTGCAAGGTAGAATTTTGTGTGTGTGTGTGTGTGTTTGTGTTGGTTGGTGTGAGAGTATCTGTGTGCGTTAAGCTTGTTTTCTCGTGTATCTATCTTCCTTTCGTTCATTATGGTATTCAATAAATGCTTCATAGTTTCATAGTCCTATCACCAAGTAAAGAGGAAAAATCTTTCCATCTTTAACAGAAATGGTGTCCATGTAAATTGGACATGAGTGATTTTATCTGTGAGTCAAATGCCCTTTCACTTGTAGAAAGAGAGTCAGTTTGTGTGTTGAAAATGATGCAAAATAATAAGAGTTGTGGGTTCGTCTCTTTCTTTATCTCTTTTTTAGCATATGGGTAGTTATCTCTCTATTTATGGGTAATGGGTAGATGGAGTAATCTAATCACATAGGCTTTGTAAGTAGTTATTTAATCAGGTTTATGAGTCGTGGGTTGTTGCATAACTGATGTAGGCGTTTATATATGGGCATCATATAATGAGATACATGCAACCAGTGGATGTAACTTGTGTGTAACGAGGGGATGAATATATAACATGAGATATATGTAAAATACCAAGCGCCTTTCTGTTTATCTTTCCAAGAAAGAAAGAGTGTGTACTCTTTCTTTAAAGTAACCAAATATTTTTGGAATACCACATGGCATCTTTCCAAAAGATACCAACAATGGTATAGCCTTATCCAAAAAATTATCCAAAAAATTCTTACATGGAATCAAAGCGTCCATAAAATTTCAACATTGTGCAAGTGAAACGTTCGTTCTTCTCATCTCAATGTTATTCCACAGGCAATCCAAACCAGGGCAGGAGAAACACTGATCCACAAATATACCAAAACTGCAGCGGTGAGCACGATTATGGACCCGAGGGTAGCAGTTCTGAAGGATTTCCACCTCTTAAAGGCATCAGGCTTGGCTGAGTGCAAACTGAGGAGGAAATCAAGCAAGCCCATGTTCTAGAAGGTGAAAATGAAGAAGAAATTGATCCATGACTTGTTGCCTGCCCTACAAGCTGCTGTTTGGGCATTGTAGGCAAAGAATCCCAACCACCAAACTGAAACCAAATCATTGATGAAGACATACTTGGACATCAGCTTTTCCCAAATCAATGCTGAATAGTTACCATTTAACACAAAAAAAAAGAAGTGGGGACAAAGCTCGAAAAGATATACCCATTTCATGTTTTTTTTGTCCCCATTGCCAAGTATTACATGAAAAGATTGAACAGTAAGAGCCACAGTGTCAATGCTTAAGTTTTTGTATTTTACAATCATAGACAATGCATAGACTCGGACTTATTCTTGTGGTGGTTATTGAAGTACAACATCTGTCAAGGTCTTGTGGGTCTGCTGCTCATTTTGACTCATCCAGTACATAGTGTTTGGGGCTGGAAAGGAATCAGGGGCATATTCAGTTCAGAGCTGGTTTACAAATAAGTATCGACGATGTTGGGAAAACATTGGGGCTTTTAAGCCCCATCCACCAGATTTTTTTTAAAAAGATCAGTCCGGTATTGCAAACATCAGACTAAAGGTAAAATAAAAAAATATAGTGGAACCTCATTGTAGTTTCTGCATATTTTGGGACCAAACTGTAATAATTGTTTAGGAAAATGGTACGGACGTATTTTTTCCTTAAATTTGATATGCTTTTATATACTCAAATAAATTTCTTTTAATAATATTCTTTAAGTTTTGGCTCAATGGCAGACATATCAATTCTAGTGTGGGAGTGGTGGGTTTAAATCCTTAGACTTTGTCCCAAATCATAAAGTTGTTTTAAACTCAAGGCTAGATGATCAGGGTGGTAGGCCGCCAAAATATGATATCGAGAGTTGTATTCCTACTCCAAGTAGCAACCTGTACCTCATTGAACTAACCATTAATAAATAAATAAAAGATTCTTATTTATACAATTGTTTTAGGGAAAAATATGATACCCCCCATCTCCAAAATCATAATAACAAATAACCTCAAGGTCCATGGAAATCCCTTGAACCCCTTTTATGTTAAAAAAAAAGTATGTTTAACTGTCTCTATAGTTCTTCATTGTCCAAATTAATATTTATCCTTTTTGTTTTTTGTTAAAACCCCCTTTCATTGAAACTCTAGAAAAGCTGCACCTTGTTTTTCTCTCTTCCTCACTGGTGAATCTTTTCCTCCCTTTCTCTCTCTCTCGCAACCTCCCTTGAACCCCATTATCCTTCTCTCATCTTTTGAATTTTACAAGTAAGTCAAAAGATGCACATCAAATTCCATTTAGATTATGGGGTTATTGAAAGAATTTCACAAGTTAAAAGAGGCACATCAAATTTCATTTAGATTATGGGGTTATTGAAACAAGGAACAAGAGCCTACAATTTAGACAATGAAAAATGTCAGGAGAGGCAAAACATCCTTTTGTTTTTTTAACTTGGAGGAGGTCTATCGGCATTCCATGCATCCAGTGAAAATTTTTGGGAAAAGGGGTACTCATCTTGTTTTTATTTGTTTTCTTTGGTCTTGTTGTGCTCTTAATGCATCACCCTATTAATCCCTGCTATGTTAGTAAGCACATGTTTTAATTTTGGGCGAGATTTGTATAAGGTTGCCTCCTTATATGGTGTAAGTATGGTGCACCTCTAAAATTTGCATAAAAATGTTGTTTTGGTGTCAAAAACCTTATGATGACATGAAAATCTCTTTTCATCCCTATTTTTATAATTTTTTTTTAAATTTTAAAAATAGTATAGATCGAGCACATGAATAAAGATTTGAATTTTTTTTTAAAATCGACAGGTCAGATAACTTGTTAAACAATGCACTATTATTTGTTCTTGAAATTCTTTTTTTTTTTTTTTCACTCGAGGTCAGGATAATCAATTGAAAGGTTCTCCAATAGTAGAACACTCTCTTATGTAGGATTTTTAAGGTTCACCTTACTTCAATAGTATAACGTAGCAACCTTATATAAGCTTTTACCTTTAATTTTTTAGGGGCATGTATTAAATATTTATTTCCAAAATGCCCCTGTCAATTCTATACTCTCAAATTTTATGGCCTCGTTTTTCTAGGATAACTTTCAGGAGTTTGAAATGTTCATGTTCTTTTCAAGGTTTTATCTGTTGTTTCTGAACATTTGAAGGTTTTATATGTAAGAATATCGATGAGGAAATTAGTATATTGAATATAAACCCCCCTTGCACATGTAGTGAGTGTTTCTTTTTCCTTTCTACAAATCAAGATGAAAGTTGTGTTTTGCACTGTCTACAACATTTTTCAAAACATAAGCATCCCCTCTTCCAAAGCCTTTCCTTTTATTCCAACTAAAATGCTCTCAAAATCTTATTAAAACTAAATCTCTCCCTCTGAAAATCTTATTAAAACTCTCCCCCACCATAAATGGCTCAAACCAAGCATTGCACTTCTCTAAAAAATTGCACACAAAAATGGCTCAAACCAAGCATTGCACTTCTCTAAAAAATTGCACACAAAAATGGCTCAAACCAAGCATTGCACTTCACTCAAACACACACACACACATAAAGTGTAAATCTCTCTCTCTTCCAAGTTACTATATATTCAAACCTGTGCCATTTATTGAGTGAAAGTATAACATAGACTAGTGATGCATGGGACACAGTACACCATAAGGACAAATGCTGGACACTAGCCACAGTTCTCAATGACAAACATTCAACCATCTATGGATAACCACCATCCATTGCCGGTAATGAATGGTCGATGTGTGATATGGTTTCCTGTATCTTATCATGTCTTGAAACTCCCTATTTAGTATTCTGTGGGCTAAGCATACTTAGTGAGGCTCTTGCTCAAGAAAACCATAGCCGATGCACTGCACAAAGCGAGGCCGCATGCAACCCAAACTAACCATATCATGTTTGGGGGTAGACTTATCCATAAATACACCAAAAATGCAAGTGTTAGGCCTATGATGGTGGCGAGAGTGGCATTTCTTAGGTCACTTCTCTTCTCGAAAGCTTCTGGTGCTATGGAGTGCATGATCATAAGGCCATCAAGTGCAGCCATGTTCAAGAAGGTTAGTACATAGAAAAGGTTGATCCAATGGTTGTTTCCGGCCCTCAAAGCGGCGTCAAAGGCGTTGTAGCCAAAGAAGACCAGCCCAATCAATGCCACAATTACCGTCGATGTAAAAGAGGAGTCAATCTTAGCCATTGATGACAGACGATCTTGTGTTTCCATGATGCCCCCTATGGTGCTCTTGAATAAATCTTCCCCTTATGAGTGAATTAGGAGCTAGAAGACTCTTCTTGGTAGCTCAAGAACTCTAAGTTTTGATACATATGAATATATATAATGATAACTTTAGGAATTTAACGCTCAAAAAATTGGTAAACTATCAGGAAATGGAACAAGATCGTTCCTTCTTTATTTCTTTCATAAGAAAGGAGCTTGCCCGAGTCTTCTAATTGAATAAGTGAGGAGGAAGGTTTATCGCGTTGGAAGAACCCTATGTCTGTGTGCCAGTGTTGCCTTTTGTTGTGCTAAAGTAGCATGGCCTAGTGCTTGGAGCTCTTCTTCTGAACCATTAGATATTGTTTTAATCCACACATGCTTATCCCTTGTACTGTTTTGGTCATATTCTCTCTTGTTATAGCTAGAAGGCTATATTTACTATGGTTTTGAACCAGTTCTTCCTCGACATGGTATTCAAACTGGGATGTGACAAATCACAAACAATTACAGCAGATTGGGCAAAATAGTAAAAGTGAGATAATTACCTGTCGAGTTCGAGTTCATTTAAATGGTTGGTTTCATTTTGAATTCATTTGAATAAACAATTCATTCTTAAGAAGTTGGGTTTTCTTCCCAAATAAATAAGATTAATAAACTTTTGCAATGTGAACAAACCCAACCGATTCCCCCTGTATAGATTACTATTTCATTATTTTTTGAACATATCTAAGATATGGTTAGAGAGGTTCATATTGTTCTTTGCGTTTTATACTGGTGGTTTCAGAAGATCAACTGGTTAGCACCTTTCAATATTATTCTTTGTTTATGTTTTCCCTTATCTTTGTAGTTTCTGTTTAAAATAGGTGCACAAATATCATATGTGTAAAAGGGAAAAAAGAAAAAAGAAAAAAGAAAAAAGAAAAAAAGGAAGTATGTGTTTATGACTCTAAACCTTCACCTGGCTAACTTTGGGAGCATCATTAACTTCTGATACTTATCTATATCTATGCTATGTAGTCTATTCATTGCCCATTTAGCTTCTTACTGATTATATATGCTTGCCATGTTCTATGCACCTTTTGCTTGGGTTTTTATGAATGTGAATTTGAATTATAGACAACTTGAACTTAGAGAAACCTATGCTTGAAGAATACGCACTTAATAATTCTCTTGCTTTTTTTTATAGGATTTGATTAGATTTCTGTTATTATGCTCTCTTTTGTAATGCTTCACTTTGTGGTTTTGCAAGTTTAGGTGCAATGTTCACACAAATTCAATACATACGTGTGTTCTCCTCACAGGAGTTGACTTATCTGACAAAATACATAGGCAAGTCATCGCCTGTATACTTCAACGAATTGGAGAAGATATTTGGCATAGATGCTTCGGATTGATGCCAAGTGGAAAGGGGAAGAAATAGGTGTTGATGTCTTCCTCAAGGCCTCTCGGCATCTCAAGACTGTCTTTCTAAGCATCTAGTCATTGCTTTCATTAAAGTGCTAATTATTGTCTAAGCTTTTTTTTTAATGTTAGGAACATTGTGGGACAATGTTGTTTTATTGTTGAATGAAATATATTTTTGAGGTTGGGATATGGATTCATCAGTGGTGAATGTATATCTAAGTAGAGTTCAAGCTATTACAGGTTATTGTTGAATGGGTTGGTTTCTTACTGTTTGCATATGGATGCATTAATTGTGCATGTGTGTTTGTATATTTGCCGAAGCTATTATAGCACAGTCCAATAGAATACAAGAAACCAAATCTATAATTTCCTTGATTGCCGATAGATATGAGTGTGCATGTGTGTGTGTGCGCATATGTATGGGAAATAGCGAGAGAGAGTTTGTATAGGGTTTAAGAAGAAAGTCATCAACTGCCTATTTATGAGATTTAAACACCTATTCCACTTCATAATTGTAAAAAGACTCAACAAATTGTATACCCACAATAGTCAAGAAAATATATTGATTTCTATTTTAATATAGTCGATTAGGAAACTAGTGATTTGGTGCACAGTATTGAATTGAGGTTGTGCTTGACATTGTCTACAAACTGCTTCAATTTTGAGGTGCAATGAAGTTTATCATGCAACATTTGCTTCAATTGTTGTACAAATATATCTCTCTATGACGCTTCTCTCACTCATCAATAAAACTATCTTTCTCACTCTATATCCAACATAGTGTACTTTCAATTAATATTTTATACCAAAAACAAAATTTTAAAATTTAATAAAAAGAAAAATATCCTATTATCCTCTGTTTTTAACTTCTATATCTTATCAAACCCAAAATTGGAATATTACTTGTAAGCAAATGGACTCCATATTTTCTATCTTCCAA